TTGTTACATTAGCCAATCTGATGGGGTTGTTTTACCTCAGGGTTGTTTTAATTTGCATTTCTCTATGATTTCGAACATTTTTCATATGAATATAGATAACTTTTATTGCTTTGTCTGAAAACTGTCTGCTTATATCCTTTAGCTATCAATTGAAGAAGGGCTTGTATTCTTATAAAATTTGACTCAGTTCTCTGTATATTTGAGAAATGAGGCCTTTATTACTTGTTTATTACTTTATTACTTTATTACTTGTTGTAAAAATTGTTTCCCAGCTTTCTGCTTTCTTTCTAATCTTGGCTACATTGGTTTTGTTTGTACAAAAACTTAAAAATTTAATATAATCAAAATGATCCACTTTACATCTTATAATGCTCTCTATCTCTTGTTTGGTCATAAATTCTTCCCTTATCCATAGATCTGACAAGCAAACTCTTCCATGATCCCCTAATTTGCTTATGGTATCATTTGATTTGCTTATGGTATCACTATTTTGATCTTTATACAGTGTGAGATGTTGGTCTACACCTAGTTTCTGCCAAACTGTTTTCCAGTTTTCCCAGTAGTTTTTGTCATATAGTGAGTTCTTGTCCCCAAAGTTTGAATCTTTGGGTTTATCAAATACTAGATTACCATGGTGATTTACTACTGTGTATTGTATACCTAAATCTATTCCACTGATCTACCATTGTATTTCTTAGCCTATACCAGATTGTTTTGATGATTACTGCTTTTAAATACAATTTGAGATCTGGTATGGCAAGGCCCAAAGTGATCTTCTTAAAGCACAAGTCTGACCATATCATTCCCCTATTCAATAAACCCCATTGACTCATTATCACTTCCAGGATCAAATATAAAATCCTCTGTTTAGCAAAGTCCTTCATGACTTGCTCTCACCTCTACCTTTCCAATTTTCTTATTCCTTATAGCACCCTGCACCCCCACCCACCCCACATACATTTTGCTCCAATGACACTGGCCTCCTTGATGTTCTTCAAACAAGACACCCCCATTTCCCAACTCCAGGCATTTACACTGGCTTTCCTCCATCCATGAAGTACTCTCTCATCTTCACCTCCTGACTTTTCTAGTTTCCTTCAAGTCTTAACCAAAATCCCATCCTCTATAGGAAGCCCTTCCCAATCCCTCTAAATTCTAGTACCTTCCCTGTTATTTCCAATTTATTGCTTGTACAGTTCATTTGTACGTAGTTGTTTACATATCATCTCATCCCTTAGACTGCGAGCTCCTTAAAAGCAGGGACTGTCTTTTGCCTTTCTTTGCATTGCCAGCATTTATTTTAGTGGTTGGCACATAGTTGAAGCTTAATAAATGTTTATTGACTGATGGGTAGCAATGGCTTAATCTTATATCATTATCATGAACCCTTTCTTGTAGACCAATTTGTTTTACTCAGTCATTTGTTCCGTGCTTCTTTGTTGACATATAGTTGAGTTCATACGGATATTGCCAATGGGTAGCTTTTTTATTCCATTATTAGATCTTAGACTTTTCATAAGCTTCATTTACTAGCAGACTAATATCAGTTACATTCAATAAAACTGACTATTTATATCTGTTATAAGTGTAACAGTTATATCAACCTTTACTATTGCTCTGTGAAGTGGTGTCCTGAAAATGTTTCTGAAATTTTTTCACCTGTTTGTCATGTACTCTGAGAACATCTATCAGTCTTTTTTTTTTTTAAGAGTAAGTGTTAATTTTTCTATAACTACCATAGGGTGGTAGGTTGGATATTTTGTTACTATTGTGAGAGTTGTTTTTTGTATTCTTTCTAAAACTGTTGTCATTTTTATTGTTGTCATCATTGTTATCACACTCTTCTCAACAGTTTGGGAACAAGTTGCTTTTCTACTATTTTATTATCATGATCTGTGGAATCTTGAAAAGGTTGATAAATGACTGCTTTATGTAATAAAAGAATTGGAATGTAAGCTCATCTTCTGCAGACCCACTGAAAACATCTTTGAGACAATTCTAATAGCAGACAGCACTCAGGGATGATATGCACTTCATCTTGTTCCCATGTGATTCTGACCTCTTCCATATTTTGAAAGTTTTGCATTCCACATAGCTTAGGGATCATCATTATTTGGTATGGTGACGTCTATTGAAAACATTATTCTTAAGTTCTTGTGGATCAATGTTAGGTTCAGGAGATTGTGGTTAATAGTTCTGTCTGTAATGATCCTCTAGTTCTAGTACTATCTGTTGAATTTTCTTTTTTTTTTCTTTTTTTTTTATTCTAGCTTTTTGTCATCTGAAAAAGATGACATTATGGTTTATTTAGAGAATGCTAGAGTCAACCAAAATACTATTGAAATAATTAACAGGTTCAGCAAATTTGTAGGATATAACAAATGATCAGCATTTCTGTACATAACCAAAAATCCAACAGGAAGAGACAAAGGAATTTTAATAATTATTTTAAAACAAGCAGAAATAAATGGGGGTCTACCTGCCAAAATATGAAGGAACTATGTGAACACAACTACAAAACACTCATTAAACAAGTAAAGATATACTAAAAACAAAACAAAACAAACACAAAAAAACTAGAGGGGAGCAACTAGGTGGCGCAGTGGATAGAGCACCGGCCCTGGATTCAAGAGGACCCGAGTTCAAATCTGACCTCAGACACACAACACTCACTAGCTATGTGACCTTGGGCAAGTCACCCAACCCCCATTGCCTAACTAAAAGAAAAAAAAAACTAGAGGAATACTAATTTCTTTTTTTTAATAAACATTTTGCTATTTTAATAGCCAAATTTAAAAATTCTACACTTGCATTGTGAACATCCTTAATAAGGGCATGCCAACAGATAGGTCAAGCTTTCACATACATTTTATAGTATACTATATATAATCACAAGATCAGCTTAAAAATATACAGAATACAAAATCCCAATATACCTATTTTTTGTTAATTATTAAGGAAATATATCTGTTGAATTTTCAAGGATAATTTGGGTATGTGTCTGTAGTACAGTGATTTATCATCCAATAATGTATGAAGGATAGAAAGTTTATGATGTACAATATTAACCAACTGATTGTCTTTTAAGTTACTGGATTATCTTTTGCCTCTTTTTGTATCGCCAGCCTTAACACAGTACCTGGCATATAGTAGATGCTTAATAAATGTTTATTGATGATTGAATTCTGAGCTGCAGTAGACCATGTCCATCTGGTGTAAGTTTGGCATTAATATGGTACATACTAACAAGTAGTGGAATCAGCCTAGTGAGAAGCCCCTGTACTTCTAGCCTGAATGATATAGGGACACCCAGTCTTTATCATCATCATCATTATTAAGAAGATACAAGAAAACCTTGAGGGAATAAAAACATTAGCATCTCAGAGCACTAGGAAAGGCTCTAGCTGATACTTTAATTGAGTATTAAGGGAAATGAGGGAAGGACTCTCTAATTTATTATACCTTTCAGATAATCATCTAGCCTCTGCATAAAATACATCATATGAAATCATCTGCACCAGACAAAAAGTAAACATTTTTCCTGGTGAGTTGGGAAAGAGAGTTGTTAAACATTTACCATCAGTTCCTACCTGGAAGGTAACTTAGAGGTTATCTCAGTCCAATTTTACAGGTGAGGAAACTGAGGTTTAGAGAGGGTCCCCCAAAGTCATACAGCTAAGAAATATTACCTAGCCTCTAGTCATTGAATGGGCATTGCCTGAGACAAACTGAAGCCTGGGAAAGACCTTTATTTAGAAAGGTCAAGGTCATCCACTTCATCTTGGGCCATTGCCAGTTGTCTTGACTTTTGTCTTGTCACTGAACTTCGATGACTCTGGAGGACAGAGTGAGGTTGGCAACTTTGAGCAGCTCTGCCTCACTTCAGTCCAAGTTGAGACATCACCCTCTTGATGTCATTGGTCCTTTTTGAGTACAAATGATGAACAAGTTATTGGTAGGTCCTACATTTTTAGAACCTGCAGTATGTTATACAGTTTCCACCACTTCATTACAATGTAATCTGAATCAAGAAATACATCTGGTTGGGGGAGGGGGTAATCAGAAGCAAACACTTCTGAGGAGGGACAGGGTCAAAAGGGAAAATAGAATAAACAGGGGGCAGGATAGGATGAAGGGAAATACAGTTAGTTTTTTACAACATGACTACCATGGAAGTGTTTTGCGTGATTACACATGCATAACCTGTATTGAATTGCTTGCCTTCTCAATGAAAGTGGGTGGGGAGGGAGGAAGGGAGGGAATTTGGAACCCAAAGTTTTAAAAACAAATGTTAAAATTATTTTTACATGCAACTGGGAAATAAGATATACAGGCAATGGGGTATAGAAATCTATACTGCCCTATAGGAAAATAGAAAGGGAAGGGGATGGGGGGGTAGAAGGGAGGGCAGATTAGGGGGAGTATGCAGAATGCATGCTAGGGGTAGGGGTAAGGGTGAGATGGAGAGAAAATCTGGAACTCAAAATCTTGTGGAAGTGAATGTTGAAAACTAAAAATAAATATTTAAATAAATTTTTTAAAAAAGAACACATCTGGGCTCTTGGAGGATAACTTTTCTATAATTTCTGGTAGCAATGACCTGATCTCAAATTGCTATCTTAAATCTCTCAACATCTAAAAAGAAATCTGCACAATTCCATAATTTTTAATGTTCCTTGGATGATTTATTATTCATTGGTTTTATATAGATGTTGACCGTGGAGTGCTTTTTTGATTCTGCTCTTCAATCTTAGTCATTTCATAGGCTCTATCTAGAGATAAACCACTTTTACTCATATTAAACAAGTTACATTTTCAGCCTTTGCTATTGTTTTGTGAAATGAGGTCTGTTAGTTCCAAAAGTATTTATGTAAAATTTAACATGTTTATCATGGGCTCTGAGAACTTAATAAACACCAAAAAAAGGGCATTTCTATAAACAAAGTAGAACACATAAGAAGGATTACATACCACTTGCTTTTAAAAAAATGGTACATTCAGTGCTTTTTTCGGCAGCGTATATACTAAAATTGCAATGATACAGAGAAAATTAGCATGGCACCTGGGTAAGGATGATAGGAAAACTCATGAAGTATTCCATATTTTTTACCTAGGAAATCGCCATGAGGGTGATTGCACAATTTGGAACCTGGCGAGGGTATCTACAGGAAGAAATACCTCTGCAAATCTGCCTTAGAAACAAGGTGGGAGTGTCTATCCATCTCAGCTACTATTAACAACTGACACTGAAGTTAAAACTCCAGGATGTTGATTCATGGAAATGTTTTTCTCATTGTAAGTGGATCGAGTCAGACAATTTGTGGACAGCAGAGTAGGACAGAGCCCCTCTGACTCAGATTTACCAGGGCAAAATGCTTCTCAGAAGCAGATGACTTAGACAGCTAAACTTAAGGTGATGAGAACAAGTAATTGCTGTCTAAGTTGATATTAGTGTGGATTTCTTGTCCCTTCGGGGCCTATTTTTAACTATGTTAATAATTTGTTCTTTGTTCTTTTCCATTGTTTCTTACAATGTCAGGATCCTTTTGGAAGAGCGCTTAGGTGCCAGATTTAAGACAAAACTGGAAGTTTAAATCCAAGTCTTCCTTGGTTCAGTGCCTTATAAAATTACTGGTTATAATGTTTCAGTCGATGGCTGGGAACACTTTAAGGGTCCCACAAAGATGCTGCGTTGGAGATCCAAATAACCCCCTTGAAGTGAAATAATAACGATAATAATAACAACAATAACAAGCATGTATATAGCACTTTAAAAATGAGAAGGATCAGGTATATCAATTGATACAATTTTTTTAGACATTTGAAATTCAAAAAAAGATTAGGTATTTGTACTTGATACTTCATGATTTTTCTTCTATATCTTCGTTATCAATAAGAAGACTTTTCAAATAACAAAAGGAATAAATCACGTGGTTTTATCAATAAGGACCAGATGCATCAAATAAGGCATATGCTTAAACACTTTGTACTTGTGTTGCAAATATGAGAAAATGTTCCAGCATTTATTTCTTTTGGGTTACTTCTTTGCCTATAGTAGTGTTTCTTCTTTGGAGAATCAGGAGATTTCATCAAACATTTATAAAACCTGTGAATAACCTATTTATAAAGTAAAATAAAACTTTATCTTTCCATGTAGTTTCTACTATTTTACTAATTTTTCTTCTGGTTTTTCAGATTTTCAGAATTTATAGTTTGGTTGTCATAATATAGCCCCCTTACTGATAAAATGTTTCAGAGACTCTGATGAACAGACTTTAGACCTAATAAGAAATGTCCAATGGTGAACTTTCAGATGATGAATTTGATGGCGTAAATATCATAATGCAATTCGTAAGGCAAAGAAAGAGTATTCCTTGTGATTCCAGTAACAGGAGTGACTCATCAGTGAAGATTCCATCAGTGAAGTTCTATCTGCACCTGACAATCTAAAAGGTAATGAGCAATATAGTTCTTGTCTGATATAAGTTCATGACAAAAGAGATGAGGAGCCACACTATCTGAAAGGTAAATAGGGTTCTTCTTGACAACAAGCTACTTCTTCTCAAGCAGTGTGAGGATATTTGCAACAGCTAAATACTATTATACTACTGCATATTCTATAATCCATCTCATTAAGAAAAGTCCTGTTTCTTATTTTTGAAATTTATTTAGTGAATCCTTATTTATTAATTTAAATAAATCCTTATTTATTTAGTGAATGCTTATAAACATTCAGAAATGTACAAATGTTGAGGGCCAATGAGTAACAGGTAACACTAAGTGATCCATTACATTAGATGAATTAGAAAAGTTCATTGGTCTTATTGTTACTCTTTTTAAAAAAATTTATTATGTATTTATTTTTCACATTCATTAAAAAAATTGATTTTCAAATTCTCTTCCTCCCCCACCCATCAAGAAAGTAAGAAATATGATATCAATTACATATGTGAGATAATGCAAAACATATTTCCATATTAGTCATGTTGCAACTCCACCTCCCCCCAAAAAAATAACCCAAGAAAAATAAAGTGAAAAAAATTAAGCTTTAACCTATACTCAGAGTTCATCAGTTCTCTCTCTAGAGGCAGACAACATTTTTCAGCAGAAGTCCTAAGGAATTCTCTCGGATCACTGTGTTTGATTAAAAGAGGTAAGTCATTCCCAATTGATCACGATTACAATATTGCTGTTACTATGTATAGTGTTCTCCTGGTTCTGCTCACTTCTTTGCATCAGCTCATATAAGTCTTCCCAGGTTTTTCTGAATGTATCCTGCTTGTCATTTCTTACAGCACAGTAGTATTTCATCACAATCATATAACACAGCTTGTTCAGTCATTCCTCAATTGATGGACATCCCTTCAATTTCCAATTTTTTTTTGCTGTCACAAAAAAGGTTGCTTACAAATATTTTTTACATATAGTTTCTTTTTTCTTTTGTCCCTGATCTCTTTGGGATACAGACCTAGTAACTGTATTGCTGGGTCAAAAGTCTTACTGTTACTCTTGGTATTATTGGTGGAAGTTTGAAGAGGGATGAAAAGGTTTGGAAGAGCCATTGTGAGAGTAGGATAGTGAATTGATAAAAGGAGGCAGAGTAGGGTTGCCTAGAAGCCATGAGGGCCCAATAGAGAATATGTAACATAAATTTGTAGCGGACCCACTCAGAATGGTTGCATGATTTTCTCCACCTGTAAATTTATTCAATATAAGTCAAACAAGCCAGACAAATTTGGCCTGAAAATTTGGTCAACAGTGGACACCAAAAACAAATTCTTGTTGAACACAGTCCCTTGCTTGAGAAAAGATTATATTAGAAGCAATGTTACTAGGGAACCTAAAGATCCCTGGATCTTTCTTTGACACTTGCAAAGCCAAAGCGCAGCACAGTTATGATTAGTCATCATAATTGCACAGAATATTCAGAAGGAATGAAGACATATAGGCTAGTGCAAGAAATTCTGGTTTTGAAATTTCCAGAGAAGCCTCCTGTGGTCCTGACCTTCAGACCACTGATCTCTAAGAGATCCAAGTCTAGAACTTTACTGAGGACCCTCCATCCAGATGTTCAGAGGACAACCCTAAGGAAAAGCCCGGCATAATTTTATTGTAGCAAAAGAATAAGGCAGGAGTTGTCGTTCTTAACTAAATAGCAAGGAGTTACTCAGTGAAAGCAGCAAGTAAGAGATGGCCTATGTATATGTTCCACATGTTCTCTTCAAACACATGGAGAATATATATTTTTAAAGTCTGTAATTCAAACATTAGCTGTGGAGAATACATCTAAAAGGTGAGGGGCTTATTGCCAATTCTTCAAGTGGCAAATTGGAAGTTATAGCAACCAAGACTGAAGACACTGGTGTTCTTCTAGCCAAAAGGAGATATGCTTGTGACACTACCAAGTGTAGGAATAGAACCAGAGATGTAGGCTTCATTGGCAAAACAAAAGAAAATAAAACAAACCAAAAACCCAAACCAAAACAACAACAAAACCTATTTGCATCAAACGAGCAACAACCACAAAAAATACGCAAAATATGATTCCTAAATAAGTGATTACAAGGAAATATATTTGATAATATTTTCTTTCTCCTATCTGTACAAATGCACCTTAAATACAAATAATTACAAACAGATATAAAAATTCTGAAATAAATTTTTTTATCCTACTATCACTATTTTCTTTGCTTTAACTTTATCAATTGACACAGCTTGGTCCTTCGAGGTATTCTTAAATTCTGGCCCTTTTGGTGCTATGGTTTGCAAAAGTTTATATGCATATATATTTATATATTCATTTACGTATATATACATATACTTTGTTGTTCAGCTGTTTTAGTTATGTCTAACTCTTCATGACCACATTTGGGGTCTTCTTGGCAAAGATACTGGAATGGTTTGCCATTTCCCTCACCAGTTCATTTTATAGATGAGGAAACTAAGGCAAACTGAGACTTACACAGGGTCACACAGCTAGTAAGCATCTGAGGCCATATTTGAACTCAGGAAGATGTCTTCTTCACTCCAGGCCTGGCACTCTATCCACTGTGCCACCTAGCTGCCCCTATGTACACACACACACACACACACACACACGCACATACATACACAAATATATGTGTGTGTATTATTTCATGTGATCCTTACAACAACACTGTGAAGTAGGTGCTATCATTATCTCTTTTGTTAGATAATTGCTACTGTTCAAAACCATAGCTCCAAAACCTGGGAAAATATTTTAAAAAATTATTACTATAACCCTCCATTCTTGCCAAGAGGTTTTGTTTAAACTGTTTTCTTTATTCCTTCTCTTATTTATTGTAGTATGATTGATTAATACTCATTACTTAGTCTAAGAGAATGTTTCCATTTTGGTTATGATTTCTTATTCACACATTTTTGTTTCATCACTACCATGAGCTTCACTGGACTCAGTTTCTTATTTTGCTATATAAACCATTGCCTTATGGTATTGTGAGCACTGAATGGCCCAGACTTAAGGACACCTCTGAGAAAGTATCAAAAGGAAGAATTGTTGAGGGGGGAAAATATACAACCTTGTTATCAGAACATGCAGTTTGACTAATTACCCTCCATTCTAAACACTACAAAATACAACACACTAAATAACAAAAGCTTGAGTTGTAGACTGAATAACAAAACCTGGTACAAACTACCTCCCTCAACTTAGGTGGAATACACAAAACCCTGAGGCACACACACCCTTTAGCTGACCTCACAAATGCTGCACCCAACACACAGCCAAGACTTTCCACACCAACTTCCTAATAGGGACAGACTATATCCCATTGGTCCATTCAAATGCCACAGCATGCTGTTGATTGGCTGGGTGCTCTGAGCTGACTAGAGAAAGCTACACTGAAGAAGGAAATCTGTACCCTGGGAAAGGGAAGCTGCTACTAGCAAGCATTCTTCCTTGGAATACTAATATATTTTATGCACACACACACATAGTGTGTATGTATATATTATAATTACATAATATATAATTATATATCATGTATTTATTATATATTATATGTAATAAATATATAACAACAAATAAAATAAAGATAATTATATAGTAAATATATGATATTATGG